GATGGGTTGTAATTAGTATTTTGGTGGTGAACATGATGTAATCTATGCAGAAATAGAAGTACAATGATGTACACCTGAAATTTTTACAATGTTATAAACTAATGTTACTGCAATAAACAAAAAAATTAAAAATGTGTAAAAAAAAAAGAAATGTAATGTCATTTTCTAAAATTTTAGTTTGAATTTGGAATGTTTTGATATCATTTATTTTATCTACTTAAATAATAATTTTGTTTCACAGGATTTATAACATAAAAAATCAAGCAACAAGTAACATGTTTTATACTAAAGCCTTTTATAGTTCTAACAGTTTAGAGAAAATGTCCTTTTTATTATATTGTACAGCTGCTTCTCTGTTCAATTTTCTATTAATTAGAATAGAGTTACTTGTGTAAACATGATTAAAATACCTTTAAGAGTGAAAAGGGATGTCTAATATAATAAATAGATTCAAAAGTTTAAAAAAAAAAGTACATAGCAAACAGAATGTTTTTAATGTTTATGTAAAATGTGTATATCTACTAAATTTCTGGAGATTAAAGGATCAGAATGTTTAATTGTCTTTGTCATACACATAAACATGCTATGTCACCACCTATGTATTTTATACTCAAAGTAAGTGGCCTCATCAATCTATGAACACAGAATTTCAGAGCTAAAGGGAACTTGGAGATTGTGTTGTTTGATCCTCTAATTTAACAAATGAAGATACTGAGGCTCAGAAAAGTTAAATATGATCTTCTAAAAGCCAGTACTATTTTTAAACTATAGTTTCCTCCCAATCCTAAAACACGCTGAAAGATATATGTCAACCTAAAAGTTTTTCAGAAAAATTACACTAAATGTGCACTTCAATTTTGAAACACATCCTGATTTCCAGAATATTAAAACTTGAAAAATCATACATCTTAGAATTGAGGAAATGTATTTTTCCAAAAGTAGTTATTCTTTAATATAGTGATTTAAACCAGTGCTTTCCAAACTTATTCTCTTCAAGGTATACAAAGAAAATTATAATATTTGTACATGGTACATTGGGAAGGTACACAGCCTGAGGTGGCCAACCCTCTGAACCTAGAAGACTAAGATGATCACATCGATTGGGAAGTTCTAGTTTAAACCACTGGTGTAGTATATATTTTCAATAAATTGACAAATTGCTAGAATTTAGCATTTTCAAATTTCTTAATAATAAGCTACTTTAAAATCTTGCATTAGACATCTGGATATATAAAGATAACTATCAAAATACTAAAGAAAGTCTAATTGTAGATATATACCAACTCTTAAATTTAACTATTCAAACACTGCATTTTTCTTTTTGCATTTCAGTATGAGTCTTTTCCAGTTGTCTCATAACACTTTCTCTGTTTTTTCTCTGTTTTGACCAACAAAGCATTTGATATACAGCAAATATCACTTACTCTGATCCCTTTTGGTCCTGGTGGCCCTGGAATTCCATCACCACCCTGAAAAATACAATATATTTAGTTCTTTTTTCTTCAAAAATAGCCTTCAAATAACTAATTTTAGATTATAGAAAAAGAGACTTAAATTTTTGTGAACCTTTGTGAAAGTTAGTGAGAAACTCACACACCCAAGGAAGAAGCATGTATTATTGAGACAAAGCACTGAGGTAAGTTATATAATAAAAACTGAGAGGGGCCAGCCCCGTGGCTTGGTGGTTAAGTGCGCGCACTCTGCTACTGGCAGCCTGGGTTCGGATCCCGGGCGCGCACCAATGCACCACTTGTCCGGCCATGCTGAGGTGGCGTCCCACATACAGCAACTAGGAGGATGTGCAACTATGACATACCACTATCTACTGGGGCTTTGGGGAGAAAAAGTGGGAAAAAAAAAAGGAGGAGGATTGGCAATAGATGTTAGTTCAGGGCCAGTCTTGCTCAGCAAAAAGAAGAGGATTGGCATGGATGTTAGCTCAGGGCTGATCTTCCTCAAAAAAAAAAAGGAAAAAAAAGATAAAAAAAAATGAGAAAGGTCTTTATTTACTGAGAAGAAAACTGCTGACACATAGAAGAAACTTTCTATGTGTAAAGTTAATCACGAATCATGCAAGAAAACAAAGATGAAATAGTGGTATAGATATTTCCCAAATAATTTATGCATAAACAAAATAAGAATTGAAAATCTTGGCAGTTTCTGTATTATGTCAATCTGCTTGCCATGCTGGTAATAAACAGCATCATCTCTGAGTCCAAATATTTGCTGTTCTTGACTTTGCTGCTTTAAACATTTCCTTTGTTTTATAAGGCACTTCTACTGGCAGAGTTTAAAAAGGAATAAAAAAAAAAAAAAAAGAAGGAATAAGAAAGAACCACAGACATTCCTTTCTAGCTTCTGCTGTAGACTCACTTGCAAAAGAGGCTACCCACATGTGGGTTAAGCTAATCACTCATTTCTAGTTACAACCACATCGCTGAGAATTTCAAGTTTTGCCTCACTACATTTTTAACTAATTTCTTTTAAAAATGGAATGAAGAAAACCTAATTCTGCTCCAAAACGCAGGAATGTTGGTGGGACATATAGCTAGTAGGCCATCACCTGAGATTTTAGATAGCTTTTATTAAACTGGGACATCTTGCTTTACACAAGTGGTTTCCAAACTACTCAACTCACAACCCTAGAGGTTCCACGGGAGGTTCCTCGATGCCTATGTCACAACCATCCTTCAATCAGCACAGCTCTGTTTTTATCTGTTTCATGTGGGGCTTCTACGAAAAGTTTCATTTGGAGAAAGCATTACCTGGTGGATTAGTTTCCTATGCTGCTGTTACAAATTACCACAAACTTAGTGGCTTAAAATAAGGCAATTTTACAGTTCTGGAAATCAGAAGTATGACAGGGGTCTCAGTCGCAGAGCTGTGTTACTTTCTGGAGGTTGTAGGGGGAGAATCCATTTCCTTTCTTTCTCCAGCTTCTAGAGCCACCAGCATTCCTTAGCTCATGGCCGCCTTCAATCTTCAAAGCCAGCAATGGCTGAACGAGTCTTTCTAACATTGCATCACTCTGACACTGATTCTTCTGCTTCCCTCTTCCACATTTAAAGGACTTGTTTGATTACACTGGGCCCACCAAGATAATCCAAAATAATCTCCCTAGTTGAAGACCAGCTGATTAGCAACTTTAATTCCATCTGCAATCTTAATTTCAATTGTCTATGTAACCTAACATATTCACAGGTTCTGAGTATTAGATCATGGACATCTTTAGGGAGTGGGCATTATTCTGCCTAGATACCTTGCTTTAAAAAAAAGATTAGTAATCTACTCTTTCCACAACAGATGCATCTCTAAGGAGATTTAAAGTAAATCAAATTCTATTTTAAAACAACTAAAAGACCTTTTGCTCGATGAATTTTTTTGTGTCTTCACACGAAAGGCAGAAATAAGACAAGGATGCCTTAATATTGTACTGGTTGTACTAACCATCATGGTTAAATAAGAGAGAGAAATTAGAGATATAAAAATTGGAAAGGATGAGACAAAACAACCACTATGTGCAAATAATACAATTGTATGCATGGAAAACCCAAGATAATTAGTGAAAAACTACTATAATTAATAAGATAATTCAGTAAGATAACTGTATATAAAATTAAAATGAAGAAATCAATAGCTTTCTTACATACCAACAACTACCAGTTAGAAAACATAAGGAAAGAAAATATGCAATTTACAATAGCAAACAAAAGATAAAATATTTAGGAGTGAACTTAACAAGAAATGTACAAGATTTATAAGAAGAAAAGTTTACAACACTTCTGAAGTTCAAAAAGGAAGACTTGAACAAATGCAAAGGCATTTCATGTTCCTGGATAATAGGATTCAACATAAAAAAGTCAATTTTCAATAAATTTAGTTACAGATTTGATAAAATAAAAATAGAAATAACAATTTTTTTCAACTGGACAGGGTGACTCTAAAGTTCATATAGAAAAATAAACCAGAGAACATTAAGGAAAATTTTGAAGAAAGAAAAGAGCAATGAGGGGACACTAGCCCTGTCAGATATAAAAATATAGCATAAGACATCAATAATTAAAATAGTTTGGTTCTGATATTTGAATAAGCAGACCATTGGAAGAGTATGGAAAGTCCAGAAACAAGTCCATATATTCATGTGCATTTGGTTTATAATGAAAGTGGCATTGCAAATTAGTGGGGAAAATTATATTGGGACACACTTGTGAGGACATCTGGAAAAAAAAATAAAGGTGGAACTTACATCACAAACCATACACCAGGATGAATTAGAAATGGATAAAATGTTTACATGTAAAAAATGAAACTATTAAATTACTGCAAGAAAACATGGGAGAGAAAACATGGGAGAATTATTTTATAATCTTACAGTGGGTAAGGCATTTCCTACTCAAAATCCAAAAGCCATAAAAGACCTTTGAAAAACACACAGAGAGACACACAAATATACACACACACATGCACACACTCAGCAAAGACAAATGACAAATTAGGGGGAAATAATCTCAACTCACAACACAGACCAAGGGAAATCTCGCTAATATATAAATAGCTCACTGAAGTATGAACACCAACAATCCAGTAGAAAAATGGTCAAATGATGAATAGACAGTTCACAGAAAAGAAAGCACAACTGATTCTTAGAACTATGAAAAGATGCTTAATCTCACTCAATAAGAGAAATGCAAACTTAAAGTACATTGAGAGGCTATTTTTCATCTATCATATTAGCAAAAATCCAAGTTTCATAATAGGGTTGGTTAAGCTACAGGAAAATGGGTCTTCTTGTATATTGCTGAAACAAGGATAAATCATACTTCTTGGGGTGAAATTTGGCAATATCCATAAAAACGTATAAATACATGTACCCTCTAATCCATCAATACCACTTCTAGTAACTTTACAGAGATAATCCCTTATTTGGGAAAGGAAATCTATTAAAATTGTACATCTAGCAGCACTGTTTGTAGTGGCAAAACATTGAAAACTACCTAAATTATCATCAATAGGGGATGGGCTCAATAAATTATGGTTTATACACACAATGAAATACAATGCAGTTACAAAAAATAATAAGGAGGTTCTGTGTTTACTGACATGGGATATCTACAATATATATTAAATAAAAAACAAAGGTCAAACAATGTGTTGAATATCATACCATTTTATAAACAGAGCTAAAAGTATGTCTGTGTATTCATATGCATGTATGTGCATGTATATATTTGTACCTGCATGCATAGCCATAAAAAATTCTTGGGCATATTCACAAGAAAATAACATAAATGAGTACCTATTAGGGATATGTAGAACTCAGTGGTTAATGAATCAAGAGGAAAGGAGATTTTTTTCATTGTATATCTTCTTATGTTAATTTATTTTGAATAAAGTGAATATATCTATTGAAAATTAATTTTATTTGTAAGAATAAAGAAATCTTTTAGAAAAATTTATGCATACACTCCTATATATATTTGTTATATATATATATTTTTTCTTTTTATATATTTTTACTTTCATATATAGGAGTATACAGATTAAAGAATAATCCTACAAAAATTCTGACTTAGTATATATGTTAACATACACACATGTACCAGAGTACCCAATCAGATAAAATGTATAAATTCAGCTATGCTCAGAAGCATGAAGTCATACTGGAGATAGAAGCACAAAGTACTTCAAATTCAGAATCCCAAAAGTTTAGAAAGCAGTCCAACCTTATCATTTTATGAATATTGAAATGGAATCACAACAAAATATTGGACTGCTTTCTAAATTTAAACTGCATACAACCACACCTTTAAAAATTATCATACTATTGTAGAATAGTTCCAGTTAATGCTAAATTATTTCAAAGGAATTATGATGTAATTAACTTTTTTCAATCTGACACAAATCTTTGTTAAAACTGCCACCTCTCAGCAAGCATGGTGTACAAGACCCTCAGCCCCTAATCCCAGGTAAACTCAGATGTAAGAAGTGTAACTTTATTTTTCTATGGTTCAACTTAATTTCTGTTTTAAAGCATCCATTTCACTAACTTGGCTGAAATTTGGTCTCAGTCATTTGGAGTTCCCACCTCATTTTCACAAGGCTGTGCCTAAGTTGTGGAGAGCTTAAGTAGTTCCAAGGTGTTGAGGGTGGGACAGTCTAGTCCAAGTTGGAATTCATTGGCATGTCCCATGCCAATAGTCTGCATGGATTGCTGCTGAGTTAGTGCTCAATTCCATCCACTTGACTCTTTCAGATCTCTCTGCTATTTCTGTGCCGCTCCTGGCTGCACAAGAAACTTTCTGCTGTTTTTGTACCTCCTTAACCTAGGAAATTCTGTTGAATGCCCCATCTACCTAAATTCTATTTAGTCATTTCGAGTCTTCCTTTATCTTCAGTGTAAAGTTCTAGTCGGGAAATTTAGCACAGGTCCCTTCTGCTCTTGAATCTAACAAAACTACCTTGATGTATTGCCACCTCCTCAGAGATCATGCACAAGAATACTCCCACAGTCTATGCTCTGGTATAGTTAAGTGTTAAAAAGTATTTATGCACTTAAATTAATTTTCCTCCTTTATTGGAAGGACTACCTGATGAGTATCCATTTGTTTTTCTTAATACTCTAATGAAATGATGTACCACTATTACATGAAATAAAATTAAGAAAAACAGGTTTTTAAACCACTTTTCCTTTCCAGGTAAATGAACAGAACTGGCCCTTTCATATATCAGTTCACCAGTCTACCTAATATGGATGGTAAAGAGCAATGATCCAAAAGAGGCATTAAAAAAAGACAAACCAGGAACTTCTCCCAGTCTTAAAATTCACCATTATCTCTTTCCATTCCTTATCTTAACATGCACATAAGATGCTACCCCTGCTCGTGGTATAGGAGAGACTGCCCACGTTGCGGTCAATGGGGAAATATCTTCCCAACTGATAGGACAGCAACACTTTCAGATCCATGAGCCTGGGTTTGGGAGAGGGAGGGTATACGGATCTAGCCTCTCTTCTTTCTCTCTCACAGAAGAGCCTGTGTGACTTCCACCTCACCAAATTCATTGATACACCTGTCATAGGTAGTTGCCACCACTTCGAATTTTATAAACTTCTGGGTATGTCACCCACCACCCAACCCCACAGATAAACGTCTGAGTGCTGTGCCACCAAATACAACAAATGGACACTTCTCTAAACATGGAATTTTTTAGTATCTCAGATACCCCAGCCTTATTACACTGGACCTGATGTGTTGCCACAGTCGGACTCTGATACTACAGAAACAAAATACCTCCTCAGATGTCAATTTGATCTTGTCTAAGATAGGATTAACTGAAGTATCTGGGAAAAGGGATATGGGATCCGCCATTGGGCTATTTTGACCTCAATAGCGGCAACCTTCTTCTCCCCCTTCCCCAACCTTACACAAATTTTCCAATTCCACTCAAGGACTCTGCTCACCAGGAGGGACTTCTGGCTGGTTGACCCCCGTGGTAATCAATGACTTTTACACTCCCAGTACTGTGTGTGTCCCCCTTGGGGTATTATTTCTTTTGTAAAAGTGAGGCCTTTGACATTCCTACCAATGTACCATGTATATATGGGGCATTCATAAGAGACTTCCAAACATTCGAAAGAGCCCCTTCCCATTGAGCATATCACACTAAATAGAGTAAGAGAAGAACTCTCAAGAATTATCATGTGGTATTACTGACTCTATGCTCTTGAGTATGCTGCAGGTAACTTTTCCCACTGTCAGGGTCATTCAATTAGAAAAGGTTGTGCACAACCTGTCCTTGACCTCTACCAAAGTCATTAATGACACTACTTCAGCTTTGGAACCAAAACAGACACGCCTCAATTCCTTAGCCCAAGTTGTGTTGCATAACAGCCTAGCCCTCAACTTCCTTCCGGCCAACCAAGGAGGGGGTCTTGCTATTGCCAGCATCCTGTGTTGCACCTAGATCACTTAAACTGGCAAAGTAGAACAGTCCATCATGAGACTTAAGAAAAAAGCCTCCTGGATCTCTAAATTAGATCAGGTGGGCTATGGGCCATCTATTCCTGGCTTGGCAATGGTTGGGGCTCATGGTTACACTCGATCCTCCAGGCAGACCTGATCATCCTGCTTGGAATAATTTGATCATGACCATGATCCACTGTGGCCTCAGACTAATTACTCTGTTTTTGACATAGCCCCTCAAAGTCTAACCCATTCAGGTCCGTGATGGGGTAGCCTATGTTTCCCACTCAGGTCCTGAAAAATCAAGGGATGGAATTAAGGAGTCTGGTTCCTGCCTAAAAACCTATGTGTGATTTTTTCAGGCCCAACCATAGGCAATTACAAAGGCCTCATGGTAGGCTTCATACGGGAAAGCTGCCCATCCCACACCAGACTTAGTGCACAGCCAGCGCATGGCAGTCTCTGAAGGGAGCTGTAGTCAAGCACTCGGGCTCCCTGGCTTGTCATGCTTTTATGCATGTCTGCATTGAAAGGCCTCTTTATCTGGAGCCCTGGTGGAGACCTTTTTATTGGGAGAGGGGGGAACCTTAAGGACACTTTTTCTGCACTCTGACTCAGTAGTTTTCCACTCCTAGCCCTTCTCCCTCTCCCGTCCCCTACCCCACCCCGGGTCCATAAAAAACAACAGGAGTTTTTTTCTCCAAGCTCCCTCAGCAGTGAAACCATTCTCCATGTCTGTGCTGATCTATCTGACCCTCATTGGCACTGTTCCATGGGGGAAAATGGAACAGTGGGGAAGTTGGCACTTTCTCTGGTTTAACTTTTGGCTTATACCGTCACAGTACATGACTAAAGGCTTGACTGTTACTTTCATTTTGGCTTGTTGTCTTAATCAGCTACTCCGACACCCGGCAGTTCAGCTCTCTCCAGCTCAGCTGAGCTCCTGACAGAACTTAATTTTTGTTAAGGATCCCAATAACCACATACAATTAGCAGATATTTCAAAAGCATTTGAATATGACAATAATATTCATTTTTTTAAAAAACTAACAATAAAGTATAAACTCTAGACCATTGTATTGTTTTATTTAAATATTAGTTTCTGGCTGTAATTCAGTAACTTTTTAGTTGATTTGACATCTAGTCCCATATGTAAGATGGCTTAATTCCTCTGGTATTACTGGTTGGCAACTTGGCACATACCTTTTGTCCCCGAGGCCCCGGAGGCCCTTCTGGACCTGGAAATCCAGGCAAACCTGGATGGCCTTCCAAACCTGGAAATCCTCTCTCCCCCTGCAATTGAACAAAAATGATAGGTAATGTCATTTACAAATTTTCAAGCATAGGCCTGTTGAGATTCAAAAAGATCAAATGACTATCTAGAGAAAACTAATTTAATTTAATGATACTAAATTCACAGTATCCACCCACATGGGGAAACCTGTAAGATGTGAATGAAAAAACACAAACAACTCTGAATTTATATCATATATGGTAATGTAATCTCTTGCTTTCTTATAAAAGTAAAAAGCACATCAGAGATGAAGTGAGGTTTAAACACACTGACATTAAGAGTTTACCAGGTAAGATGGCAATAATTCAAGGAAACCAGATCTGCAGGGGTTACATGAAATCAATATGTTGCAGGGATGAAGAAGGGTAAAAGAAAACCATCAGAGAAGCTTTCAGATTTGTTGTAGAGTAGAAGAGTTGCAGGATTAATCAGAAGGGAAATTCATTAGCTGATTGAAGATAAATTAGCCAGAAAAATGCTCTAGAACATCAAAAATTTTATTTTTTTCTGATTGTAAAATTAATACAGAAAATAATGTTTATTGAATAAAACAAAAAATATATAAAGAAAAAACCACCAGTAATTCTTCTACTCAGAAATACTATTTGAATTGTGACTGAAGTCCCAGTTCTAACCACAGCACTTATCAACAGCAGCACAGGAGGGCTGCCTGCCTACCTACCAGTGAGGGTCCACCACATCTTATCAGTATCTATACAGGAAGGTTGGCTGATGTGCATATCTGTACAGCCAGATAGGTGGGTATCTGTGGAGCCACGATGTGTACTAATATACCATTAGATCGACACATTAGGGTTAGTTAACTTAGATACAGCCAATCATAGTAAGAGTGTGAACTCCAACACGCCCAGGGAATCCAATCACAGAAAGCAAATTCACTACTATTAAGTTTAAGAACCCTGAGGGCTCACAGCTCCATGGCACATGCTCCCAACTGCAGGGCTGCAAGCAGTTCCTCTACTTTCCTAAAGCTTGAAGGCTGAGTCTCTGGCCAGAAGCTCTGGACCTCATTCTGGGAACCCTCTCACCAGATCCTATCCACAGTGACAGCCTAGGCAGCACCTGAGCAAGAGAAAGCATTCATATCTACAAGACAACTGACAAATGGGCCACTGGAGGCACATACCCCTAGAGGTTAAGGCACAACAGACTTTTATTCACAGCCGCAGTGTGTGTGTGTGTGTGTGTGTGTGTGTGTGTGTGTGCGCTAAGTACTAAGTTTAGTTTAGAAAGCTTAGATAATTTTGTATTGAATAATTCCTCGTGTTGAATCATCCTATAACAAATATAAGTACTTTCAAAAGGTTACTTCTGGTCAATTTCCACTTATTACTTCAAACCCAACAAAGCAAATGTTAGCCAATTAATGGTAGGTCTAAGTATTCCTGTAGCTTTGGCAACAATTATTATTGACATATTACTACATTTTCTCTCTATTTTATGTAAATACATTTCTTTCTTGTTTTAGTTAGTCATAGAATTACGATAACTTGGTATTCATCAACCTCAACCAAATTATTTTGAAGGAAATAGAGCAAAAGGGGAGAAATAAAAGATTCAAAATTTTTAGAGTTGGATTGCCTCAAATCATTACATAGCCCACTCCTGGCAGAGGTGGTAGTAGAAATCTGATCACAAGTCCCAGTCAGAAGGGAAGCTAGAAGGAAAAAAAGAATCTAGTTCAAGTAGATTTCCATAAGTGGAAAACATAGCTACATTTTGGGATCTCTGCTGGTATTTAGAGCGTATCTCTGCCAAAACTTGAGGATAATGCTTGAAGACAGCCATATTTTCTCAGAAGCAAAACTGCTTTCTGGGCTACAAATAAGACAGGAATAAGCTAGAAATTGAAAGTAGAGGATGCTAAAAAGCATAATTGTGTTGGTATTAATAAAATCATATACCTATAAATTATATACCCTGAAATCTCCTCACACTATAGTCAAATAATGTTGTGGTCCTATCTAGCTGACTGAGCAATATTATACCAAGAAAGATAGAAGGGCAGCTACTGGACAGTAGCAAAAAGAATTACAAGAGCAATCCTCAGCCTTTGAAAGGTAGAAAGTTTCCTGCAGTGGAAACTATAGAAGACTTCCATGAGGCGGGGATGAGAGAGGGTCCTCTACCAAATTCCTAATACAAATGATAAGGGAGGCTGACATCTGTTGTGTGCCTACCCTTTGCTACCAGTTATCAGGCAATCATTTAATCCTTACAACTAACCTAGATTTCACTGTAATTTTCTAATACTTACAAACATAGAAAATGGTGTAGTGTGTCTATTTCTGAAGGTCAAACTTAAAACAAAAAAAAACTATTTTACGCTGCCTGCTCGTATTTGGATAAAAAAATCATTCTTATTTTTCTTTGGGGAATAATCTTCTTTCTTTGCCTGTCCCTTAAATACTGGTATTACTCTGAATTTCTTTTTTGATCTTTCTCTCTCTTTCCCTGGGAAATATCAAATATCAACACTTTTTTCCTAAAAGCTAGGCTCACAGGGCCGACTCTCTTAAACATCTCCACTTGAATATCACACAGGCACCTAAAACTCAACAAAAATAATAGAAAACATGTATTGGGTGTTTTCTATCTGCCAGAGTTTATTCTAAATTCTTACCAAGTTTTATCTTATTTGAAGATTTTTGATATTTGAAATAATATTTGAAAATATTATTTATTTTATCTAATTTGAAGAATTAGGGGAAAGAGAAGTTGTGCATGAGCAAACAATATAAATAACATTAATTATCTTTCTATTATCTTCCCTGTTTCAGGAAATAGCACAATCTAGCTACCTCAGCCAGAAATTTGTAATAATCTTGACTCCACTCTCTCCATTACCCCTTCATCTAATCAATCATGCTATCTTCATCATTGTATTCTTAGTGCCCAACAGAACAAATACTCAGTAGATATTCATTTAATGAATGAACTTCCTTAATGGAATATATAAAATTTATAGCACACGCTTTTGCCCAAATTCTGGAAAAAATGAGCTAGGGTTAGGCAAAATTATACAAAGTATGACTTTTTGTGGTAAAGCTGGTTTATATACCACACGCCAGTATTAAAAAGAAGGATAACAGACCGATTTACTTAGAAGTAGAGCCTAGTTTGTGAGTCAAAGGCACCCATACAAATGTTCCCATTTTACAGGAAAGGCACTTCATAATCACAATAAGAAAGTTACATGATCATGAAAATGAAAAAAAAACATTTTAAGAATAGTTTCTCAAGGAAGATACAAAATTAATAGGAAAAATATTAGATTTCCGAGGATAGGAAAAATAAAAGTTAGGACAAACTGCTATAATGACAATTGAGATTAAAATTATTTTGGATTATAATATTGTAAAAATTATATAAACATATGGGTAGGCAATACCCTTAATGGAAAAATTAAAACAATGATTTAATTAGGTGATGCAATCATAGGCAATTTTGTCTTCTTTTTGTGTATTTTCTCTTTTTGTTTTTGTAATTATATAGCACAAAGAAGTATTAGATGTAATATAACTAGGAAAATAAGAACATGGATCTTTAGCAACTGTCAAATGGAGATAATCTAGGTCAGAAAATCTCAATTTTAGCTTGCTTCAGAACCACTTGGATAGCTTGTTAAAACCAGGTAAGGCCCTACTCCCAATTTTAGATTGAGTAGGTCTGCTATGGAGCCTTAGAATCTGCATTTCTAACAAGCTCCCAGTAAACGCTGATGCCACTGGTAGAAGGGTACACTTTGTTTCTTTAGTTTCATATATTTGTTAATGATAATGTGTCTCAATGAATTGTGTGACATGGTGACAAAATGAGTTCAACAAAGTCAGTTCTATGAGAGGCCAAAACAATGTATTTTGACCAAGTATGCAAATCTTCAGAAGTCAGGCTTTGTTCCAAAGAAAAAGTATAGACTGTCAAATCAAAACCTGGGAAATCTTCAAAAGGCATAATGCTTACCAATTACTCAATGTGTCATAACGTATCCTCATCAAGGCACCCATAGGATAAAAATATATATAAAATAAATTTTTAGAAAATATAAATAAGTTTTTAGGAAATTCTTCAGTATTAACTGGATGCATGAGGTGCCCCTTGGTGACTGATTGCATTGACTTGGTCTGTGGTCTAAATTTTTACAATGTATTGTTAATTTATTTATTTTATTCATTTTTATTTTTTATTGAGGTAACATTAGTTTATAACATTACATAAATTTCAGGTTACATCATTATATTTCGATTTCTGTGTAGATTACATCATGTTCACCACCCAAAGACTGATTACCATCCATCACCATACACATGGGGCACACTTTGTTGAGGTAATGTTTGACTGTGATATGAATGCGGATGTCAGTTGGTTAATTTCTTGTTCTCACCAAGAGTCTGGTGAGTTTTGTTTGTTTTTAGCAGCGTGCACTTGGACACATTCCTTTGGCAGAACCTACATGCTTTATTATTTCTGTGTTAAACTTACTTTTTAAAAGCAGTTTTATTGAGAGAAAATTAATATACAGTAAATTGCACATATTTAAAGTATACAATTTAAAATTTTTTGTCACATACGTGACAATCAAAATAATGAACATATCCATCACTCACAAAAATTTTCTTGTCTTTTCAACAAATTGTGCTGGAACAACTGGACATTCCATGCAAAAATAATGAATCTAAACACAGACCTGACACCTTCACAAAAAATTAACTCAAAATGGATCAAAGTCCTAAATGAAAATTGCAAAACTAAGAAACTGCTAGAAGATAACATAGGAGAAAACCTAGATGATTTTGGTATACAACAACAAAGGCACAATCCATAAAAGAAATAATGGATAAGCTGGACTTCAGTAAAATGAAAAATTTCTGCTCTGTGAAAGACAATGTCAAGAGAATGACAAGACAAGCCACAGACTGGAAGAAAATATTTGCAAAAGAAACACATCCAATAAAGGACTACTATCCAAGATACACAG